CCCCCCCCCCCCCGGTGGGTTTGGGAGACATCCTTCCCTCTTTGATTGTTCCTATGATGCACCAGAGAGGTGACGTCTGGGAGGGGCTATGTTGCCCCTCTGCCTGGCTGGCATGCCCTGCGACCCCACCCTGAACACAAAGCCTCCCCCCCCCGGGGTCTTGCAAAAGGTCTCAGTGTCCAAAGAGGAAGTCCCTTCCAAGCTGGTCTGGATGGCAAGCAGCAGGCACCACTGGCAGCCACGCCTGGCCTGACTCAGCTTATCTGGGCAGGCAGAAGCGATGCCATGGGGGGGCTGACACCGGTTCTAAAACAGGCGGTGTGGATTTTTATCCAGGTCAGCCGCAGAGCAAGGCTCTCATCCCCAGGATTCCTAGTTCTCTGCTCACACATCTTTGACTCTGACTCCTCCCAGGAGAACCCAGGCTGCCCCCCCACAGCTCCCATGGGGAGGTCGGGCACACCCCCTTTCTGTGCTTTCCCTCAAGCTGGTGCCCTCTCCATGGACTGGTTGGTTCTCCTGGCTGGCTATCCCAAGGGCTCTGTATGCCCAGGAAGCCTGCCTGGATGCCAGCTCATCTACCCGGTTAGGGTCTCCTCCGATGGGTGGCAAGAGCTCTCCAGGGTCCGAGCAGGAGGGAATCTCTCTTGCCCTGGCACCGAGCCCCCTCCTGCCCAGGTATAGGCCCACCCCTCTCCTTTGCACCCAGCCCCCCCCTCCACGCCTCCTCCTGGCACTGAATCCGGGAGTTCTGCCCCTGGATTTGCTCTCAGCTCCCGCCATCACCAGGCCTCCTCCTCTCTCCCAGGGAAGGACCAGGGAATCCGGGCGCCTGGCTTTTCCCTCCACCTGTAAGAGGCTTTCCCAACCCAGCTGATTCCAGGCCAACCAAGGGCCACGCAGCAGCTTTCTCGGGCCCCGACATTTTCCGCAGCCAGCTGCCAAGTCCCGCCTGCCAACGCTGGGCAGTGCCACGGGGCGGGCGCCAGAGACCCTGCCGGCCACCCTGGTTTGTCCCCCCTCCTTCCGTGCACGGTCGAAGGGCGCCTTGTGTCCCCCGCCTGAGGCGTCAGATGGGCGAGGCCCCCTCCCCAAACAGCAGGACCACCGCTGATCGCCCCCCTCTCCTCTCCGCCGAGGGGCCGCGCGCCTCGTTGCGCCCGCCTTCGCTCGCCTCCTCCGAGCCCGGGCAGGCAGTCCTCTCATTCCTTCAACCTTTTAAAAGAACCAAATGAGACATTATAGGGAATGTATATTTCCTCTGAATAGCCTGTTTTCCATCTCATAAAATAATTTTCTGAAACCTATGTGTCTTGACAAATTAAGTCAATATTTACTTTCTAATAATCAATCACAAAAAATAGCATGCTAGAATACAAGATACATAATTGAAGGAATACACATTCTTTGACAAATTGATTCCTTTCACCACTTAAGGAAACACCTCTCCTAAATACATGCTAACTGTATCACCCTTCCTCGGCCGGGACCCGGAGGTGCGCCGCGGAGCCCCGGCACCTTTCACTGCCTCCCGCCCAGCCTGATCCGGCGCGGGTGCTCAGCGCAGGGAATCAAGATCCCGGGAGGGAGGGCTGGTCCTCTCCAAACCGGGGGCGGGCGGGGTTGGGGGGTACCCCTTGCCAAGACCGCGTCCCGACGCCCGGCTTCGTCTCGCCTTCCCCGGGGGCTTCAGTTGCAAGCCAAGCAGTCCCGGGGCGGCCAGCGACCCAAAGAAAGGCTGGAGCCCGAGCGCCTTAGCCCCGCCCATCCCCCTTGGCTCCTCCCCCCTGGAGAGAACAAAGTCAGCCCTGGGTCCGTACCATTTTCAATAGCGGGGGGGAATAAAGAAGAAAAGAAGGCAAGAGATGCCAAAATACAAAATAGTGATGCTTTGTCTCTCTGGCTGCATCGTCGGTGCAAAGTGTTTTAATTATGCGGGGGGAGAGAAGGAGACATACCCATTTCGGTGCCAGTTCCCAAAAAAAATCACATTCTTCCCCCCCGTAACCATGTGAATGGTTATGCCCTGAGAGGCCAAGGCCGACAGGCAGAGACAAAGGAAGTCCCCCCCCCGCTCCCTGAAATGAGGCTGGTGGAGGAAAAGGGGCGTTTAAATGTCCTTCCAGGCTCCTTCGTCTTGGCAAAAACAAGCAGAACTTGGGAAAATACTCTCTCTCTCCCCCCCGGACTCCAGATCCCATGATGCTGCAACCAGCACGACTGCTTGGGGAATCTGGGAGTTGTAGTCCCGCAGAGTAAATTTGTCCCAGGCGTCTAGGGAGAAGCAAGGGCAGGTCGGAAAATCCATTCGATGGCGGGGCTGAGCCCCTCCCCGGCGTCTTCAGAGGGGCCCCTGGAAGGACTGGCCCATCATTCAGCCTTGGGGCACAAGTAGCCGGAAGGGTTACTTCCGGCTACTTGGCCACTGGGTGAGAATTTATGGGTTCTCTTCAATTTGGGCTCGCCTGGTGTTTTGGACAGCCCAGGATTCTGGGAGCTGTCGTACAAAACAAAAATAGTGCACCACTGCATTAGGTCACGGATGAGCATCTTTCGGCACTCCTGTGTGGTCCTGGACTACAGCTCCCATTAGCCCCAGCCAGCATAGCCAGTGGTGAAGGATGATGGAGACTGTAGTCCTAACAGCTTCTGGAGGACCAATTATTTAGCTTTGCATTAGCTGATGGAAGCACACACAGAGAGATATTATTATCCTGTATACACGTCGTTCCCAACCTTGGCTCACCCAGGTATCCTTGGACTGCAACTCCCAGAAACCCTGGCTGGCACAGCAGGTGGCTAAGGCTTCTGGGAGTTACAGTCCAAGGACACCTCGGTGACCCCAGGCTGGGAATCCCAGCTGTACACGAAGGGGTGTGTTGGAGGCCGGAGGAGGACCACACACAGACCCCGGTGGTGGTTTGGGCAGGTGGTCCCTGGGTCAGGGTAAGATATGAAGAATAAAAGGGGGGGAGGGGTTTACTTTTGACAAACATGCCATAAAAGCATTCTGCAAGTGATAAAGAATTTATTATTGATGCAACAGTGAGCAGATAGGAGGGGGACGACTGGCAAAGACTCTCTGGAGCCCAGCCGGAGGCACACCCTGCTCCAGGTTGGCTTGCTGGTTTTGGCTTTGGTTAGAGAGGTGCCCCCCCCCAGCCCCTCTGCTCCTCTCCCCCCCCCACCTCCTGCCTGGCGCTGTACCACTCAGTCATAATAGCATGCTGGCTTTTATTAAGGAAGCGGTTTTGGGCAGCGACAAATGGTCTATATATGTAAGGGCTACAAAGGTTATCTGTTTGAGCAGGGCGATCTCTCTCCATGGTGCCTGCCCTCCTTCCTGGACGGGGGGGCCCAAGGGTCAGTGATGGCTGGCGATGTGGTGCAAGTACGGCTGCAGGGGCTGCCGGTTCCGGGGAGGGTGCAGCACGGCCCTGAGGGGCCCCCTCTCCATGTCCTTCTCTGCCAGCCAGTCGTTTTCAGGCAGCCAGCCCTCGTACACCTCCATCTCCGCTCGCTGCCGAAAGAGAAAGAAAGCTTCAGTCAAGGGGCCCTTCCTGCTTCCGCCAAGCCCCGGCCTGTTCTTACCCCTCTGCTCACAGGAGAGGCCCACCTGTACAAGCCACCTTTGCACAGGTGGCTGGGAGCCACTGCTGAGCAGGTCTGCCCCTTGGGGAGCGGGGCTCAGAGGTCCCACTGCAGGGCCGAGGAGGGGGCACTGGTGTATGGGGGGGCATGCTTTCACTGTAATATTTTCGGTGCAGGTGGGTGCTTCTTGATAGCTTTCCACCTTGGTTTTCTGAAGCCGAAGGGAAGCTATTATTCCCTTTAAAAACAAGAATCTCCCGACATCTTAAACAGCAACCACACTTTTGATTCGGTTTGGGCATTTGAGAACTGGAGCCCCCTTCTTCAAAGGTGGCGGTGGAGAGAAGTGAGCTGCTCTCCCCTGAAATAAATATTGCCCAATAAAAAATGTCAGCTGCTGAGGTGCCCCAAGACTGGAATCTCGCCTGTTCACACACCCTGGGAATACTTTTCCTTTATAAAAGAACTCCCCCAGGGAATGTCTGGGGGAGTTCTTTTATAAAGCAAACAAACCTAAGGAGTGTCCAGTTTAATTATATGTACCTTTTTGCAAATATTGTTCATGCTTCTCCCCCGCCCCCACTTTCCACCGTACTAAGTTGGCATTTGGGGGGAATTTTCCACAAAGTTCTGTTTGCAACTGGTAGCCACTGATTCAAAACCCTCAATTCCGTGGAGAACAGGGTTAACACTGTCGCCGTATCCTTTACTCACATCTCATCTGCACCTCAAATCTGGGGCAGCTGTGGCCTCATCCCCGCGGCTTCTTTCCAACCAAACATTTTGATGTCGATTTCGAAAAAAAAGGACATCAACCGACTGATTTTGTTCTTTGCACCATTTCTGCGTAAATTGCCAAGCTGGTCCATCTGAACGCTCAGATCTTCTACCCCCTAACCACGACCCCCCTGCCCTCTCCTTAGCACCTTTCACCCATCCTTTGCTTACAAGCTTTTGACAAAGGGGGCTCTTTGTTGGGTCTTGGGGGCGAGGTGGCATGGGTGACCACTCTGCTCCTTGGCAAGACTTTAAGCAGACATGGGAGGCCTGCTTTTTGGGGGAACCTTGAGCAGTGGATTCCTTGCAGCACCACGGGGTGAGATGAGATGACCCTGCTGAATCTCTTTGGATGCTACCCTTGTAGGATCAAGCTCTTAACTTAAGCCTGTAGGATCCGGATGTTGTTACAAAGAAGGTGTGGGGAAGAGAGGAGGAGAGCATTGGGGCCTTGGAGAAGGCCACCTGCCCTTTTCTTCTGGGTCTGAACATGGCAGAGACCATGGTCGTCAGCCATCATGATAGCTCAAGTTTGAGAGACCCGGCTGGGGATTTCACAAGCCCTCCTGGCTAACGTCCCGGCCCAGCGCCTCCCTGTCCAAAGGCCCCTTTGAGCTTTTGCCCTCAAAGTGAATCAGATGCCCCGGGGCCCCTTCCGTCCAGAGACACGCAGCCTCCGGGTCCCTGTTACCTGAGCGGCAGGTGAGATCACCTGGTCCTTGGGGTGGCTGGGCTCGGGCAAGGAGGCTGTGCTGGGGGCCTTCCCCTCCTTCTCCCAGCGTGACGTGTCTTCTGGGGAGCACTGCCCACCCAGCAGGATGAGGTTTTCAAAGGTGGGGTCCAGTTTGGCTTGGTGGGAGGTCTTTCGAAGCTTGGGGCTGCCGAGCCGGTTCCTATAGAAGGCCGGGATGGGCTCTTGCTGGGCCTGTTCGTGGCGCCACTGGAGGCCATGGTGGGAAGGCTTGCGCTGGCCAGAGGATACCTCGGTGGGTCCCGAGAGGGACTCATAAAAGCCTCCTTCGCTGGGCCCTTCCCCCCACACTTTCAGGGGCACCTCCCGCCTTGCCTCGGGGAGGTGGAGGCCATCTGTTTGGCTGGTGGTTCGTTGGCCGCCATGGGCGTCCTCTTCCCTGAAGGTCTTCTGAGCCGGATAGTAAGGATCCTCTTCCATGGAGGTGTAAGCCTGGGTTTCCTCCATCAATGGCTTCCCGTAGCTGGGTCTCGATTCATGGAGGCTCCTCAAGCAGAACTCGTAATACTGGGTGAAGCCATAGTTCTGCTTGAGCGGTTGGGTGGAAACAAAGGGGTGCTTCAGGGCCGCACTGGGGGCGATGCGTTCGTGGGAGTCCCAGGTCAGCATCCTCTTGATCATCTCCACCATGCTCCGGAGGTCAAAGTACTCTGCCAGGGCCTCGGAGTCCGGGTAGATCATTTTGTGGGTGTTCACCGTCTCCATCTGGTCCAGGGACTTCAGGACGTATTTCCTCCGCTCCACGGACTTCACCTTGGTGTCTGCCAGATGCTGGGCTGGCGTTTTCAGCTCCCAGGAATTCGCCGAATCGGGGTGCTGGTTGGTTTTGAAGAAGAGGTGGGCCTTTCTAGCTGCGTTGAGGAGGGTGGGTCTGGGCATGCCTTGGGTCTCGCAGATGTAGCGGATCTGGTCGTACTCGCTGTTCCCAGGGTAGAGGGGCCAGCCGAGATGCAGTTCGGCCATCACACACCCCAGAGACCAGATGTCCACTTTCTCACAGAAGGGCAACCCCAGCAGGATTTCTGGCGCCCGGTAGAATCGGGACTGGATGTACGGATCTTTGACGTATCGCACCTCGTTGAAGATGCTGGCCGAGCCAAAGTCGATCACCTTGACCCAGAAAGGATACCTCATCTGGTCCACCAGCATGATGTTCTCTGGCTTCAGGTCTGCATGGATGATGGAGAGTTCTTTCAGCTTGGCCAAGGCTCTCAGCACCTGCGTGGTCACCGTCCGGATGTGGCGGACGGGCAGAGGGGAAAATTTGTTCTCCTTCTGGAAGTCAAACAGGTTTTGCTCCAGCAGCTCAAAGACCAGGTAGAACTTGAACTCGTCCTGAAAGAACTCGTGGAACTGGACGATGTGCGACTCTTTGGAGTCCACGCTCGACATGGCCCGGAGCAGCTTCAGCTCATTCTTGATGATTCTGCTCCGGTAGGAGTCATTCTTCAGGATCTTGATGGCCACCATCTCCCCCGTGCTCCGCTTCCAGCTTTTCACCACTTCCCCAAACGTGCCCTTTCCGAGGATCTCAAAAACGTCGTAGTACTCTGATTCCGACTCAAGTGTGACCATCGTTCTGTGCTCGCCCAAGCTCGGAGACCCGGGTGCGAAGTGACTCCTTGCAATGAGAGTGTGAGCTGCCTTGCCACCAAGGGAACCCCAGCCCTTCTCTGGAACACCGGGTGATGCAACAGTCAGGCCGAAGTTCCAAAGTTGCCAAGTTAAGAAGAAGGTTCTGTCATGGAAGCCGATGACCTGCCCCACCAGCGGGTGCCCCCCCCCAGGAGAGGGGAAACAGGGACAACAGAGAAGACCACTTGGCTCCATCCTAAGATTACTCTCTGCCCTAGCAGGGTGAAGCTGCAGCTCCAACAGGCTGCCTTTATCAATGACCGATCACCCTCCCTTGGAAGAGCTTACCATGGGTCAAGAGAGATCCCCCCGGCCAGGAGCTACAGTTCTCCAAGCGAAGGTGGGCCTGATTCAGGAGGCAGTTCTCCCTTTACCACTCCCTCCTCATTTCCAGCCCCTATTTCAAGGGGAGATAGGATTCAGGTTGCATAGATCATCCATTGGTGCAGCATGTGGGTGGGGAAAACTCAACCCCTAAATCCCTCTTCCTCAAGCAACCAGCTTGGCTTCCCTCTTGTCTGTTTCCTTGATCTCTGCTTGTCTGCAAAGGTGCTTCTCTCCCCTTCCTCGTGGGAAGGACTGGAAAGAGGAAAGAAAGAACCCCCCATAGTACCAAAGCAAGATCCGGTCCCGTTGCCTTGTGCATATTAGAAGTTCTAATTTCAGCTTTCCGAAAGCCAGGGATTGATTGATTGATTGATTTACAAATATTGTTACTCCACTGTTCTCCTTAAAAAGGACCCAAGGTGGTTTGTATCATTGAAGATAATGTTTAAAAGACAAATGTTTGTATGTATACAAATATTTTAAAAGGATCGAACGTTGATTTTTCTCAGCGATTCCCTTTGAAAGGACAAATGTCTTTGTTGCTGTGGTTTTAGTACAGGACTGGAAAAAAAAAAGTAGCTCACGGAAGTTCTCATCTATATTCGCCAGGCACTGCTTCTCAGCACATCTGGCAAAGATTACACAAAAAAGCAGTAAAGTTAGTCAACATATTAATTTTTATTCCAACCCAGAATAGAAAAAAAAAGCAGTAGTTCAGTGTATCAGAGGTACAGTGTAAAATTTTTTAAAAATTATTAATTAAACTGAGAATCTGGCAGAGGCAGTTACTGGAGTTTTCTTTTTAGCTTCCGGGGCGGGGGGGGGCACATAGCCCATCACCACAGGCCTATATAGTTAAAAATTAGAACAAAATATTTCTGTACATCTTGAAGCAACGACACTTCTGCCTTTTCCTGTCCTTTGAGGATGGGAGCTGCTGCCCCCCCCCGGCATGCTGGTTTCTTGTCTAAGTGTTAACGCTGGTCCATGGCCACTGCACCCTGCACACCTTTCCCCCCCCAAAAAAGCAAGCCAAACTGGGCTCCCCTCACTGGTCACGTATTTCGAGGCGCGTGGCCCTGGCATACAGGCATGCCTCCACAGGAGAAAGAAGGACAGGGAGGGGCCCCAAGGCTGGCATCCTGGAGCAAGGGGGCAAGGGAGAGGAGAGGGAAGGGAAAGGAAAGGAATGGGGGGCTCCTCTTTTTGGGGGTGCAGGCTCCGAGAGAAAGGGGGTGAGCAGATCCTTTAAGACTGAAAGAACAGCCGGAGAGCAGCCTTTAAAGAGGGATTCACATTGGTTTTCCGCTAGGAAGATTCTGTCTGGCTGTGGATTTGCAGTGCCTCTGCGGAAAGGGAAATTCAAGGAGCTGGTGGGGGTGGGGGGCGTCTTTCGGGTGCAAACGCAAATACTGCCCTCACTCCCAGCCCAGGTGTTCCCCCCTCCCTTTAGGTTAGTGCTAGACACGTTATACTGGAAGAAAGAGAAGCGGAATGGGCGGGCAGGTGGGCGGGCAGGTGGGCAGAAGTGCTGCCCATCTAGCAGGAGGTCTGAGCGGGTCCCCAGTTCACACTGCAGCTGTTGCCCCCACTTCTGGTTTAGCCGCCCCCGGTCCTGGTCCCGGGCTGGCCTCCTCTGGGTCCTGCTCTTCCTCCGAGAAGCCCACGGTCGGCAGCTTGATTTTCAACCCTCCCTCCTCCCCCTGGCGCTGGGAACTGACCTCCAGCACCCCGTGGGATTGGGGGGCCAGCACCACCTTGGGGAATTTGAACCCGGAGGATTTTTCTCCTCCCCCTGCCGCTTCCAGCAACGCCATCTCCGTCCGGGCAGCCGAAGAGACCACGACCCCTGGGGCCGTCTCCCCGTTGCGTTTCTTGAAGCCGGAAAAGGTGATCTTGGGGGACTTGAACCGTCCCGCTTTCAGGGCCGCGAAGGCCCCCGAGCTGCCCCCGTGGGCGTCCTCGGCCCTCACCAGCTTGAGGCTGAGCTCCGGGTCGCTCTCGGCCAGGGTCTTGGAGGGAGACGAGAGCTCCAGCTGGGGCAGCCGGATTTTCCCCATCTGGCCCCGGCCCTCTTGGGCTCCGTTTGGCAGCAGGCCTTCGGCCCTCCCCCCGTCGACCTCCTGCCCCTTGGAGAAGCCCAGCATAGGCACCTTCGGCTTCGAAGGAGACGCTTCGAGCTCCCCATTGACCTCGGCTCCAAGTTTTGGCTTCGAGAGGGAGAGCCCAAAGGAGGGCTTCATCTTGAGTTTGGCCATCATCCCCTTCCTCTCGGCCTCCCCCTCCCCCTCAAGGAGTCCCGAGGAGCCTTCTGCCTCCTTCCCCTTGGCCCTCCCCAGGACAAACGTGGGCTTTTTGGTCTTGGTCTCGGCCTCCTGCCCCGGGAGGACCTCCCCAGCCTCTTTGGACAAGGACAGCCCAAACTTTGGGATCTTCATCTTGTACTTCTTCCCTGCCTCGGCTTTGCCCCCTGGGCTCCTCCGGCCGTCGCTGCTGGCACGGACCCTTTGACCGCCTCCCTCTAGATCCTGGGAGCCCCCGTGCCAGAGCTGAGCCCCCTGGACCTCATATTCCGCATGAGCTTTGAGGCTGGGGGCCGAAATCTCCAACCCGGGCATTTTGAAGGCAGCTTTCTTCCCCTCTAAATCTCCCCCGTCTGAACCCCGCCGACTTTGAGGAGAAGCAGTAGCCTCTCCCTCGCCCTTGGGTCCCAACACACCGAAAGTGGGCATCTTGACTTTGGGCACCTTCAGCCTGGCGTCTAACCCTCCCACGTCCACCACCAGATCCGCCACACCTGCTAGTTTCCCTGCTTCTGCCTTGACCTCTCTCTGCCCGTCCTGGTCCACGGAGAACCCCACATCTGGCATTTTGAAAGAGGAGTCTGCCCCTTGGGCAGTGGGGGGGCAAAGGGGCTGGGTCTCTGTGCTTGACTCCGAGCCTGTCTTGGAGAGGCTTAAAGAGGGGAGTTTCATCTTGAACTTGTTCTCGTCAGCTCCGAGTCCTGCGTCTCCTTCTGCCTTGCCGAAGCCGAAGCCTATTGGGAGCGAGGGCATCTTGATCTTGGCTTCCTTAAGCCCAGTTTCCGGGCTCAGCATCTCCGTGCTCCCTCCAAGTTTGGGAGCTTTCAGCTCCAGCTGAGGAACCCTTGGCAAGTCCATCTCGGCGTCCCCTTCCCCGTCGGAGCCGGACTCCCCAAATCTGGGGAGCCTGATGGCAGGACCGCTCACTTTAACCTTGGGCATCTTTCCCCCTTCCAAGTTCACATCGAGCTCTATGTCCGGGGCCTTCATTTTGGGGGTGGAGAACTTTGGCAGCCCCACAGAAGGCACCTTGAACTTCCCCTCCAGCTCTCCCTCCGTCAGAGGCAGTTCTGCATCCGAAAGCCGGGCTTTGGGCAAGGAGAGGTCCACTCTTGGCACCCGCACTTTGGTGCCCAGGAGAGACATTTCGCCTGCCCCGTCCACCTCTTGCTCTCCTTCCCTCCCAAAGCTGAGCCGGCGCCCAAGCAGATGCATCTCCGCCTCGCCCTCCTCTCCCCTCCCAAACTTCGGCAGCTCCACCTTCGGCAGCTTGATCTTGGCATCTGCGCCGGTGCCACCGTGCGCTACAGGTTCCTCTGCACTGGCTGAGGGGAGACTGACACCCAGTTCTACTTTGGGAAGAGACACGCTGAGGGAAGGTGCTTTGGGGATCCGGAGCTCTCCCTCGTAGCCTCTGATGTCCGCCTCCGAGACGTCCACCACCGGCTTCGGCAGCACCAGCTCTCCTTCAGCAGTGGGACCGGGCACGGCAATTTCCAAAGATGGCATCTTCACCTTGAAGCTGGGGCTCTCTGACCGGGGGACCAGCTCTGTCTCAGCTTTGGCTTCTTTGCTGCTGATGCTACTGCTGATCTTGGGAAGATCAACCTGGGGGACCTTCATCTTGAGCTCTGGGGCCGAGAGATGCAGCTTCCCGGGGCCGGCCTCCACCTTAGAAGAGGGCAGAGCCAGCTTTGGCATCTTCACCGAGGGGTGTTTGAGCTTGGGGCTCCCGGGAACCTTGGCAGCCTTTGCCCCCGCTGCCAGGCCTGACCCCTCCACCTCTTTGCGCCCCATGCTGAAGGAGGGCATCTTGAACTTGGAGCCTTTCGCCTTGGCCTCCTTCTCAGGCCTCTTCTGCTCTGCCTCCCCTTCCTTGCTTTTCCCCCCAAATTTGGGCAAGGAGAATTTTGGCACTTTCAGCTTGAGGTCTGGGACCTCCATGTCAGCCTCCCCTTCCTCGGCAGACTCCTCGCCAGCTGCCCCTTTGGGAAGGCTGATGTCCACAGAGATGCTGGGCATTTCCACATCCATGGTGGGGAATTTCATTCCGGTCTCTGAAGACTCTGCCTCCGTGCGAACCTCGGCAACAGCTCCCAACCTTTCCTTGGGCTTCTTGGCTTCAACCGCCAGACCCCGTTGGGGGCCTTCCACCTCAGCCCCTGCTTTGGATTTTGGCAAAGATATCCCAAATGTTGGCATCTTCAGCTTTAAGCCTTTATCTGCCGCCTCTGAGCCTTCCAGCTCAGGCGCTGATGCCTCTGCACTGGCTTTCCAGATTTTGGGGCCTGAAATACTGAATTTGGGGAAGGCGAGTCTGGGCGACTTCCGCTTGGTCTCTGCTTCAAGGGATTGGCTGCTTTCTGGGGCCACCCCTTGGAGAGTGACCGCTGGGATCTCGACAGAGGGCAGCTTCATTTTGGCACTGATGGCTGGGCCTTCTAGATCCAGGCCAACTTTTGGCAATGGTCTGGTCATCAGTTCCAAGTCCACCTTGGCCCTTTGCTCCCCTTCGTCTGCGCCAAGCTCCTTGCCCAAAGCAAGATCCACTTTGGGGATTCTGACCGCCATCCCGCTGACATCTGGTGCTTCCAAGCTCCTTCCACTTGGCACCCCGTCAGGCTGCTCGACGTGGCAGGTGGGGAGGCTGACTTCCACCCCCAAGCCTTTGCTCACCGTCTCCAAAGTGGGCAATCTCAGCGTGACGCCCTCGCGGTCTCTCGGGGTCTCCTCGGAGACCGCCAGCTCTCTTTCCACCTTTGGCAAATCCAGCCCGATCTCAACCTTCGGCAAGTCAACATCCAGTGCCGGCACACCTGGGCGGGGAAAGCTCAGCCGGGTCGAGGGCACTGCCACCTCCACTTTGGGCTTCTCCACCGAGATGTCTAGTTCCGGCTTGGGTGCCTCTGGAGCTTTAGGGAACTGGACATCTGGCAACTTCACGGCTGGCGTGAAGAGGTCCACCTTTGGGACGCTGACTTTCACACTAAGGTCACCTTCTGACTTCGGGAGCTTAGCGTGGATCTGGGGCGGGGAGGGAGCTGCCTTGGAAGGGAGGCTGAATTTTGGGAGGGACATCTGGGGCATCTGGAATTTGAAGCCCGGTGCTTCAGCCGCTTCTTTGGACTTTGCCTTCCCGGCAGGGACTGGCAGTTCTGCCTTGGGAAGCTCCATCTCACCAACTTTGGGGACAGAAATATCTAAGGATGGCATCTTCACCCCAGGAAACTTCACCTTACTCTCTGCTGTTGCTGCTGCTGCTGCTGCTGAGGCAGCCTCTTTGCCTTCCATCTTGTGTTCGCCCAGCGAAATCCCCAAACCAGGGATTTGGATTCTGGGACCTTTGGCTTTTGCCTTGGGGCTTTCTGTCCCATCAAAGCCGAGTTCCACCTGGGGCAACCGGCCTTCAGCTTCTTCTCGCCCTTTGGTTACACTGGCCGAGGGGATTTTGAGAGAGACCTCTGGGACCCCCACCTTGGGTTTCGGGAGCTCCACGTCTGCCTTCCCTTTGGGCAGGGGGAGCTCCACCTCCATGGAGGGGGCCTTCACTTCCAGGGACGGCACGGTCACCCCTGACTTCAGCTTTCCCTCCAGTTCTTCCGCCTTCCTCCTGCCTTTTTCCAGCACCCCTTCAAGGGCCATCCCCGAGGGCAGCTTCAGCTCGGCCTCTTGAACCGAAACTCCAAATTTGGGGACTTTGACTTTGAAACCTTCCCCTTTGGGGGCAAGTTCTGGGGTAGCAGGGCCCTCCCACTTGGGAAGACTCAAGTCTACCTCTACCTTGGGGGCTTCCACCTCCGCCATGGGGAGCTTCAGCCCAGCCTGGAGACCCCCTTCGGGAACCTCTCCCTCCGCAATGCTAACTTTGGGTAGGACCGTCTCCACTTTGGGCAGCTCGAAATGAGGTGCTTGAATTCTGAAGCCTTCTCCTCGGGGACTGGCCCTGGGAGGCTGTACCTCTGGACCCACTTTAGGCAAGGAGAGGTCCAGCTCAACCTGAGGGGCCTGGAATCCAACTTCCACCTTGCCTTTGGCCTCCTCTTGGGGCTTCTTAGCCTTGGCGAAGGGGGCTGTGAATCTGGAGCCCTTTCCCTCACCCTCTCCCTTGGCCGAGGCTTTCAGCTTGGGCAGGCCCACTTCTAGGCGGCCCTCGGGAGCCTCGGCTCGGGCGGCTGCCATGGCCGCCGCTTCCTTGACTTTCAGCCGGGGAAACTTCAGTTTGCGCCGCTTGATCTCCAGGGAAGACGGGCGGGGAGAGGCCTCTGCGCTGGGCTCCGCCATGGCCACCTCTCCGGCGCTCTTGGCCTTGCGCAGCCGGGAGAACTTGGGCAGGGAAAACTCAACATCCACGGGCATGATCTCCAACTTGCCCGCGGCCAGGTCAGCCCCTCCACGCTTCTCTGCCTCCGGTTGTTCCTTGGCCAGGATCTTGGCCACCTTCTTTTTCTTCTTCTTTTTCAGAGGGGACAGGCTCTGAATGTTCTGTGGAAACAACCAAGAACGGCGTGAGTCTCTGGAAGGCCCAGCTGAGAAAGAGGAAAGACTGGGATAGTCTCCATCTCATGAGATAAACGGAGGGACTGTGTCTTTTGGCGGAGCCCCTCAGGGCAGTAAGGAAGTGTGCAAACCTGTGTGTTACACAGGCTTCTTCATCAGGCTAAAACAAACCATCCCTCAGCAAATGCTCCGGAAAACACTTTCCCTTTCCTCCCTGGTCCAATCAAAGGGAACATCTCCACACCTTGTCCCTTCATTGGCCAAGCCCTGCATTTAAAACGCCCTGTACATCTCTGCCAACTTGCAGTGGGTGAAGGAGCCCTCAAAGCAACTGAGATGCCCACCTCACACCCCCCCCACTCCACCCCACCTTGGATCTCTCTCTCTCTCTCTCTCTGCTTCTCTTTTTGGAAAGCCAGCTCCTCTCTCTCTCTCTCTCTCTTTCTGCTTCTCTTTTTGGAAAGCCAGCTCCGCTTCGAAGCCTGTGAGCCATTTGGGGCCTTTGGCTACCTACCAACTTGGCCATCTTGGCTTTGGGGCCTCTGACTTTGAAGGCAGAGGCTCGGGACTTGAGGGCAATGTCCGTGCTGGGCACAGTCCTCTTCAGGCAGAAGGAGACCTTGTAGGGCTCGGCACATTTCAGGAGCTGCAACGCATCTTCATACTTGATGTTGTCGAAATAAACTCTGGCGCTCAAGAGCTGGTCTCCTGTGGAGAGGAGAGGAGAGGAGGAGGGGAGTCAGCAGCGGGATCTGGCTGCTTGCCTCCCCTTTTATTCTCAGATAAATCCAGGGGGACTGGATGTTCTAGCAGGAGATGGCACTGGCCAGTTCCTACTCTTTGGGAGGAAGGGACACCAATCTGCTAGCCTCTCTCCCAAGCAGTGGGGTGTTTGGACTTTACAAGGGGGAAACTGAGTCGCACGCCAGCTGCATCTGAGCCTGCTCCCGGTTGCTCCTTGATGTCTCCCCTGCTGACTCCATGCCCTGCCCCACCAACCTCAATGGACACCAGCGGCTATCATCTTCCGCAGCTGGGTGGCTGTGACTTATCTCAAGGCAGGTGAGTTGCCCGTGGCAGAGATGAGGCTCTTTTCCTTTGGTCCAGTGGCCGACCTCCACCTCTTCCTTGGTCTCCTCCCATCCACACCCAGAGCGGGCCCTTTCCAAGGCCACTCACCTTCCTGGAGGCTAAGTGCCCGAGCCGCCGGTGAGTCCTTCACCACATCCTTGACGTAAAGGCCTTCCTTCCCCCCACCAGCCACGCTCATCCCGCTGACCCCAGCTTCTGCTTCCGTCTCCACAATGATCTCCAGCAGTTCGGAGGTCTTGATGGTTTTCTGCAAGGAAGAAGGAAGGACAAAGGGAGATTGAGGTGGGAGCCGTGGGGCGAGCAAAGCAAGCTGGAGGAAAAGGAGGCCAGGAAGAGGACTTGGGGGTGGCAGGGTGGAAGGAAGCAGAAACGCCAGCCTTAAACATTTGCTTGGTTGTTCTGGGTGGCTACTAGATGACAACCTTGCTACCAAAAACCCCCACAAAAAACAAAAAAACAAAAAAAAACCCTGCAAATTCTGGCTTTAAAGGGGAAGAGCCATAAGTGCATCGATCAGCCCAAATACGCATCAATGTTACTTGCAAGAAAGCGAAGGCAGGAGCCCTGTCTGGCTGAGGTCTTAGGGGATCGCTCTGTTTCTCCAGGTCTGCTGAACAGCCAGGGAGACAGTGGTGTAGACATGTGTAGGAGAAGTTCCTTCTCAAGAGCTCTGGAGCTAAGCATTGTATCCCTCTGCTTCTGGGACCTACAGCACCTAAGGGTGACTTTTCCCACCTCTCTGGAGCCCTGAACCAAATGGCTTTTCCCATTTCGAAGAAAGAGCGGCTTATCTGCCCTGAACGTGAACCCTGGGGGGGGGGCATCCCATGGATGATTGCTGTCACCTCCATCACGCTGAGTTTGCTCTCCATCTCCTCGGAGGGTGCAGGTGGTGGGGGCTCCGGCACCCCCTCTTCCTCCTCGCTCTCCTCCCCCTCTTCAGGGCCTCGTTGACTTTCGCCCTTCCTCTGGAGAACTCGCTTCAGCTCCTCATGAAGCTTCTCCTTCTGGGCCTGGAGGAAGACCAAGAGCGGTCAGGGGCTACCCGTCCACACAGCCCACTCCAGATCCAGTTTGAAACCAGTTTAACTCTGCCATGACTCTCTTCCTAGAAACCATGGGACCTCTCATTTTGGGAGAAAGTGTTTTTCGGTGACCCAACCCTCCGCCCTTGCAGGAGCCCAGCCCCTCTCTCTGGCCCTGTGGGTGGGCACCCCAGCAGGCCAAGCGGCACAAATCTCAGGCGGGAGACCGGCTTCACCTCCTGCTCTCACTGGCCTCTGTATGCCCACCCTGACCCCAGTTTGGGGCACCATGTTCAGAGAGACAACATCAGATGAACGAGACAGCCTGGTCCCCACACTCCCCTGTGTTTCCAGGAGTGACCCCTCCCCAAAAGGGAAAAGGCTCGATCACCCTCCTTCCTCCCCCACCAAGAATGTGCCTCCACCTCCATTGGAAAACACACACACACACACTCTTGTTCTGCCTTTGGCTGATGAGCCACACCTGACCTGTGGGTCCTTGAGGAGTGGTTTCACCAGTGCCACCTCCGGGGAGCTCTCTTGGTCAAACAAGGGATCTCAACTCGAGTCTCCTGGTCCTTCATCCATCATTTTATCCACTACACCACACTGGCCTTCTTTCTTACACCCGAAGGAAAGCCCTGAGGTGGGATCGGACCGAAGAAAGCCTCTCTCGCCCCCCGTTCTGCTCATCCAGTGGCCGACCCCAGGCCCTAATGGGAAACCCGCCCCTGGGACTTGAGAGCAAAAGCCTTTCGCCGCCTCCCCCTCTTTCTTTCTCTCCTGGAAGTGGCCTCCTGCTCCCCACTGCCCGTCGCCTTCTCTCTTACCTCTGACCAAGGGTTGGTCCTGATATTTAGGCTGGTGGGGCCACCGTGCACCTACCTAGCCCCTGATGCCCCTCCCGGCCAGCAGGAAGAATACAAGGCACACTGAGACTAGAAAAGGGGTAAAATGCCAACCACACATGCGCCGGGGTGATTGGACTACAGCTTCCATCAGCCCGCACTGTCAGTGTGGAAGGAAGCTGTTCATTTCACACACACACACCAATTGAGTCATTGCAAGGCAGAAAGCTGGGCATCGGATCAGACGCAGCAAGCGTCACTTCCCTCCACCACTGCTATGTGTAATCTGCCCAGATTGTCCAGCAACACACACACACACCACACACACACACACACACATCTTCCTTCAAACTCACAACTCTGTCTGCGTCCTCAGCTTCCTCGAGAGGCAGGTGAGGATGGGTTCCTGCAGAAGCCGGGAGCAAGGCAGGCGGCTCATTCCCTTTCGGCTCAGCTAGCTGTGAGAAGGAAGCGGGGTGAGGGTGGGGGACGAGGAACAGAAAAAGAAGAGACCGTGAGAGACCACTCTGCTTTTAAATGTGCTTTTGGTATTGATTTTATTAACTGTTTTTAATATAATATTTTAAAAATATTTGTATGCTTACTAGGGATGGGCAATGAACGGCTGGTTCAACGGTTCGTGCTGGTTCGTTTATTGGCCGAACAGGTGTTTGGTGCTTGAAAGCTCCGCCTCCTCCAGCAGGTGCCCACTCACTGGGCAGCGCCCAGAGGAGGCAGGGCAGGGAAGCAAAGCTGCCGCTTCTGAGTGGGCACCCACTGGAGGAGGTGGAGCTTTGAAGTACCAAACACCTGTCTAGCTGATAATTGAACCAGCGCGAACTACTCACCCATGTGCATTGCCCACCCATGTGGTTAAATTTTATTTATGAAGAGGAAGCTTCTATCAGGTAAGAGAAGAAACAGAAAGGAAGAGTGGGATTGCTTCAGGACACTTGGGGTATTATTCAAAACCACAAGAAGAGAAGCTTGAGGAGAAGGTGAACCACAGATCACGGAGTGATCAGAGAGTGTAGGGAAGGATCGCCCCATGGTGGTGATGATGATGAAGAAGAGGAGAAGGAGGTGACCAGCCCAGGGTTGAGGAAGAGATGGCTGGATCCAGGCAGCTTGATCCTGATGTGAAGGCACTGACTTTGAACCTCCCTTCACACTAGCCTAGGACTTCATGCAAGGTTTTAGATAAGTTACCTGTGGCCAGTCTGAAAAATGGGCCCGGCAGCGAACCCCAGGGCAAAATGCAGCATTGAATGTTCAACAGTTCCGTTCATGGAGATGTGCAGTTTCCCAAGTTTAATGGGGTAGGGAAACTTCCTTCCTTCCTTCCTTCCTTCCTTCCTTCCTTCCTTCCTTCCTTCCTTCCTTCCCCCCCTCCCTCCCTCCCCCCCTCCCGCCTATCTGGTCAAGAGAGGACCACTCTAGGCAGCTAACAATCTTAAAAATAATACAGTAAAAAAAGTGTAAATAAACAGTTCTAAATCATAAAAACACTACATTACGATGCAAAAACACAAAACATAGAACAGTAAGGGAGGGCTAGCCCTGCATTACAGCCCATCCCAAAGAGAAGAAGGGGGAGGTACCAGTGACAACTTACGGGTGACTGCTGGGTAGTCCTGAACACATGCCTTTCTGGCGGCCGGCCCTCTGCAGCTGCAGGAAGAAAAATGAGACTCCCGTCAGATCCCCTCGGTACTTTCAACCTCCTGCTCTGGGGCGCTCTCGTCCCTCCACTGCTTTCTAAACCCCAGGATGTGCAGATGGTTCAACAACAGGGGAGCAGAAGTTGACCAGACAGAGCCATTGAGGAGAGGAAAAAAAGGAAAGGTATGAAACCACCCAAGGGCTAGGAAATGTGTGTGGGCAGAGAAGTCAGCTTATTCAGCCGGTGGGGCTGGATGATCCAGAATTTGCCTGAAGTATTAAAAGCTAATTAGCCACCTACCATAGGTCACAACGGCACCGGGACATTCTCCTGCCCACCATCTCCAGCAGAGCCGTCCGAGTGGCCCAGAACTTTTTATTTTATATTTTTGATGTGTTTTTATTCGCAAAAGAGCCAGGTGGTCACCTCTCGGTATGGCCGGCAAATAGAAAACCAAGGAATGCCGTGAAAAGGGGAAGCGATGTGACACAGGAGGGCCAGGTGGAAATGTTGCACAAAACCCAGGACCCAGAAAACCTGGAGAACTCTCAACAAACTTTTACCCATCACAGCAGAAGACGAGCCATCGGGCTTGGGGCCAAGGCAGCTCCAGGAGGGGAATATTTGACTGGGGCAAGTGCCAGAACTGGGACAGGAGCCACCTCACGCCTGGCGTTAGGATGCACAAGGAAGCTGAAGATGGGAGTTTATCACGGGAGGCCGGCCGGCTGATGTGGGAGGGAGAAGAGAACGGGGCATCCCCCAAAGCCCCCTGGGGTCTAGTTGTCCACCCTGTTCAGCTTCAGCACCCTGCTTGGAGAGACCCTTAAGGAGATGGGCGAGAACGGCCCGTCAGGCTCCGACAGGCAGGCCTGCCCTCAGCCATGGGTCCATTGCTTCCTCATCCTTGTCCCACAGCCTATGTGAAAGGGGGCCCCTTCTTTTCTTTTTCTGCCCAGGAGCCGAACAGCGGCTGCTTTCCCACCTTCTCTCTCTCTCTCTTCCCTAAGCTTCAGCCGGGCACCCACTTTGGCCCGCCCTTCCCTCTCTCCCCTGGTAGAATCCCAGGCCTGGAGCCACCGATGGGTGGCATTTCATTCCCACGCTCAGACTCCGGGGACCCACGCCACGCCATTCCCCAGAAGGTCACGGCTCAATGCCGCACATTCCCAAGGCCAGGGAGACAATGGGGCGCTGCGTCTTGGCTGAGCCCCACACGGGCATTGCCAGCATTCCGGGAACTGTTCCGAAACACCTCCTCAAAGTCCCCAGGGAGCAGAGCCGCTCAGCCAGGCCCGGAGAGCCCCCCCCCGGGGGGGACGGGGAAGAGCAAGGCCACCCAGCTCCCTTCAGACCCCAGATGGGTTTTCCAGATCACCTCTGGCTTATGGTCACAACAGGCAGTCCAGGCTGGAATAGGAAAGGATAGCAAATGAGGTCCCTATTCTGTGAAACATGAGAGGGCGTTTGTCGGAGTCAAAGAGTGCAAATCTCTGAACCTATAGGTCCCATTGAGTTCAATGGAGCTTAATCCGCGCCCCCCCCCCAAAAAAAATCAGTGGTTATAGGACCGTAGCCTTCCATCCGCAACTTTATTACTGATGGCTTACCTATGGCAGGCTGGTGGTATCAGTTGGGTGGTGATCCCAGTCTGGGTTTTAATCCAAACTTCAAAACAGATCTCCACAGGGCTGAACTGAGCTGGAGAGCTTTCCACATCTCGGAGAGCTCCCGGAAGGTTTGAGCTACAACCCAGCGTGGCTTAACTGTCCCCCTGGCTTTGGATTGTCCAGCTTCCCTGGCCTTCACCTCTAGCGTGGTTGCAGCTGATAAAGAACTGTGAATATTCCTACCCGTCGGGCAATCAAGCCCACGGACATGGTAGTCCGCCTACACCTAGCAGGGGTGGGACCCCAGGCTGAACCAAGCCCCCCCCCTTCAGCCAGGCACCTGAAGCCCAAATTAAGATGATGGGGAAATGCAATCAGGGTACTCCGCAAGGGGGCTTGGGTGCCATCCGAAAAGGCTGACCCAGGGACAATGCGGGGGGGGGAAGCACCTTTTTGGCTTGGCTGAGCTCCTCCCACTCCACTCCATCCCCAGTCTCTGGATATGAAAGGCAAGTGGAAAGAGATCTGCTCCCACTCTGACAGCGGGGAGGACAATAAGCGGCTTGTTCAGATCCCCCCCTCCTCCCGCGGTTCCGCGTCACCAGCCGCGCCTCCTTGCAAGGAAGTGGGAGAAGGCCAGGCATTCTGTAGGCTCAGCAAAGCAGGAGGGGCCAGGTGGGGGGCGGGGGGGCTAGGGAGGTAACGGAGGGATTGCACCAGGAATTTAGCAAAGGCTTCTGCGAAGCTAGTTTCAAAGCAGTCTCCCTGTTCTGTGCTGTGAAGCTGCGCCGGCCTGGCCTCTGAATGGGGACCGTCTAGCCGTGACTCAGAAGAACCTCTGCAGGACTCGGGAACTCCAGAGTCTTTCCTTGAGCCCAAATCCTGGGATCCAGATGGCCAAGAAAAACAATCTGCGGGCGATAAGAGGGCCCCTGCTTTGATTTTACACATCTTACTGCCCACCCGTACATCCTTCCTCATGTGTAGCTCTGCTCGCTGGCCTTTTTCACTCACGCACCACCCGACCAGCTTTCCCACTATGGGACACATGGAAGTGGAGAGGCCCCAAGGCGGCTGATGGCCGGAGGGCACCGAATCATGGGACAATTGAGTTGGGAGGGACCGGTAAGGCCATCGAGCCCCCACAGGTCAGACCGATGGCCGTCCGAATTTCTCTTCAAGGCCTCCAAGCGTTGGAGCACTTCTGGGCCACGCTCCATCCTGTTTTGAGTGGCTCCAACTCTGCCTGTGTGGTTTTCATGAAGTGGGTTCATGGGGGAGGGGGGTCAGCACTTTGGTTTTGAGTGCATTCACACATTAAGGGGGGGAACCGACTCAATTTCCTCACCTGAGTTCTTTCTGTTACATCACAGGAAAGAAAGTGTGCAAGGAAAGGGTCTTATTTAAAAAAAGAGAGAGAGAGATAGAACCGGACAGGTTCCACACCTTTCCCCAGCCGAGATGGGAGACGGCTTCTCCTCCCTGGTACTTCCCTGCCCCTCCCCCGCCCCAGGGAAGGAAATGGGCAGGCCTATTGCCCCCCCCTCCACCCTTTCCCCGCCTGTTTCCTGGAATAGGAGAAAGCGCCTTCACAGAATGCATTTCCTTCAACTGTTCTTTCCAGGGCTTCAGGAGCCAAAGGGAGAAAAGCAACGGGTGGGTGGGGGTCGGGAAGGGAAGGGCGTCGTGGTGGTGGTGGTGGTGGTGAGGGTGGTGTGGGGAGCGGGCAGAGGAGGTCACGGCAGGAAGCATTAGCCAAGCAGAGTATGGGGTGTGGGTGCGAAAGAGAGGAGTGGAAAATAGGGCGGCCCATTCATTTGGGTTGCCGAGTCTGCCTCCTCCTCGTTGTCTTGGCCTGCATCTGCAATAGCCATGGCTTGGACTACAACTGTCAGAATCCCCCAGACAGCTAGATGGGGATTCTGGGAGTTGTTGCTCCCCTCCCCACCAAGTAACATTTACAAGCTTTACTCTTGCTAATCTCCCTGCCGTGATCGTTTCTCTTACTGGTCATAGTGCCGTAGAAGCCACTGGGCAAACGTTGCCCTCTTATGATCTAATCCCTTGGTTGTGACAAAGGCACTCTGCACATCCTCAGAGGTGCTGCCCATTCTCAACATATTTGGAGGAAGCGCAGTCTCCGCTTTGGTGCAGAATAGCTGCCCTGTGTTTTACCTGGTTCTGGCTAACTAAGATGCACAGAAGATGGGTGGGGAGGGGGGAGAGACAGAGAAGAGAGAGAGCGAGACCAGTTGGTGAGGCAGAACTGGTGGCCTCGATGGCGAATGGCAAAAGGGAAGCTCGAAGCAGGATGAGGTGCTGCCTAGGAAAGGAGGCTTGCAGTGAGCCTGGCCCACCCTCTTGCTCTCCAGCATCCTGTTACTAATTTGGGGTCCGGACGGGCTCTTGGCGCTTCAGCCCGGATGCCCCTTTGTCACCACCTCTGCTCAGAGCACATCCTTCCTTCCTCAGCTTGAGGCTGGGGGGAGGGGACGATGATCCCTTGCTCGCTAATGGAAGGGTGGAATGGAAGAACCAAATGTTGCCCCCCCCCGGGACAAAAACTATATAGACCTCAAGGTGCTATGCCTAGAAAGCGGAGCTGCACACTTGGGAATAATGGATTTTCCTCCATCAAGGAGGGAACTGAGGGTTTTCCTCCGGTGCATGTCATTGAAGGGAGAGAGGATTTCCCCCCATGAAACACAGCCTTGAGTCGCTTGGGGACAGCCTGCCTTGGCCCTTGCACGCCAGCCCCCATAGCTGTAACCACAAGCAGACCCCTTGAAAAGGGTGGCTTTCTCGGTGTGATCATTCAAACTGGCACCCTTTATAAGGGCTCGCCCAGGGCAAGGATGCTGGATGTAGTCCTATTCACCTGGAAGACCCCAGATTGAGGACGGCTGTATTTAGCACACAACACCATCTCAAAACACAGTGGTAGCTCTTTGGTGCAGCAAGATAGGCTTCAGAAGAGACATGCGCCTACACGTGAGGCTTAAAACAGCCTAAATCAGCCTCATCAACCTGAACCGGACACTGACGGACATGGCCAAAGAAGTCCACCCTGGCAAGAGACAGGGGTTCAGTGGGCACTGTTTTGTATTCTGGATGTAAAAACAAGGACTTATATTTTTAGTACTAAAATGAAATATATTTTGGTAAAATATATTTTAGGGTGGCGCAAGCCTCTTCTGTGGCTTTCAGTGCAATGCACCAGCCAGCCTTGTCTCTTGGCAGCTCCTGCCCCGAACATCCCAGGCAGCCCCGCCAAGATGAACACCAAGAAATAGGTGTGCCTCGTGCCCGTTGAGCGAGATGTCCCATGGCCGGTTGGCAGGATGTGTCCAAACCTCTCTATCCTGGCTCTTCACACTGGCCTCTCTCCAGAACTGAGCGCCAGCCGCTTTACAGTTAATCTTCTGACTCTAGACAATTCCTGCTGGATTCAAATCCAGGCGTGAACTTTATGTGTGAACTCCACTAGCCCTCGTGTGCCTCAGTTTCCCCTCTCCCCAGCTGCTTCTCTCGGCCCTCCTTCACCTGCTTCCCTTTGCATGCATGCTTTCCTGCCTGGGACCTCCTCTTTATCTCCTCCACAGTCTTCTGGAAAACCCAGGGGCTCACCCTTCTTAACACAGAGAGAGTCTGGCTCCAGAAGCAGGAGGCCATGATCTCTCCTTGGGCTATCTACAGAGGGACTGCCTCCTGACTGACTCTGACTCACTGGCAGTCCTTGAACTCCTCTGTTTAGAAATTAAGCATTGCAGAATAAGAGGAAAGCAGAGGCTTTTGCTTTAGCCTTCACACCAGGAGGAAATCTAGGATCTCTACGGCATCACCAGGATCCGAGGGGCTGCCGTGAGAGCCAGTGACGCCAAAGAGAAACAGGACAAAACCCACTCTCCCCAGGCATTGCAAAACTCAAACATGATCATCCCACTCTTAGGACGCAGAGGCTGGAAGCTTTCTGCTGAGCAACTGAAAGCAATAACAGGAAGATCTGCCTGCCCAGAGCCCTAAAATGACAGGAGGTTGAGGGAACGAAGTCTATTACTTGAATACACATTTCCCCCCCACTTCTAAGGTGCCCAGGGTGTCTTATAGACATGTGAATCCACAAAGCAACCTTGTAGGGGGGGAACAGCCTCACAGAGAGAATGTTGCAGTCCTAGGTCGGTCAAAAGAGGTCTTTAATCAAAGGAGCATTGCATCTTCCTAGCCAGAAATCAATACTCCAACGTCTGGTTTTGGAAACTAAGCAGGGTTGAGCTCAGTGAGTACACGGGTGGGAGACCACCAGGGAATGCCACGGATTTACACATGGTAGGGCTGGAGGGGAAATCACAGCCTGACAAACTTGGGAGAGAAGCCACTGCCTGACAAGGTGTACTAGGCAGGGAGGACTAAGAGTGTCTGACACAGAATAAGGGGAAGCTTACTGCATACCGATGTATGTCATCCTGACTCCAAGGGCTGAGCTGGAAGGGGCGCTGCAGCCATCTCGGGGACTGCTGTAGCACCCCAAAATACAGGGGCATTAACAGGGCCTTCAGGCTGAGAGGTTGTGGGTTTTTGAGTCCAGCATCCTTCCTTGCCAGCAGAGGAAATGACCCAGGCTTCCTTTGAGCCAGAAGGCAGCTGAAGTTCAGCCAGGCGACAGAGGATGCTAAGAGTGAAGGCCCTGCAGTAAGCGAAGGGAGAGTTCTGGAGAAGGGGGTCCCTGCTATCCAGCTTGTTCTCACCTCGGACAGGAAATACCAGAGATGGAAATCACATGCAAGCCAGGCCTTTCATGCATTTCTAACCAACTCCACCATTCTGTGCCTGTGAAGGACACCCTGCACGCTGCAGATTTTTTAAAAAACAACATGTCAAGTGTAATGCAGAGCAGCAGGAAAAGGTCCTCGTGGGGTGATCAGGAAAGTGGATCGAGTCACATTCAGTTGGAGGGCGGTTAGACTCTCCAAGTCGACGTGCCCACATCGCGCTCGGGGTGCAAACAACCAGCAAATTCAACATCATC